GGGCACTAATGGAAATAAAGGTGAACGTGCTATTAATGGGGAATGGCAACATCTGGGAGAAACTGACACTGTGTCATTAAATAAATGAAACAAGGAAGAAAAACACCTCAGTCCATATTTAAAAGCCACTGGCTTGGACTTAGAGGAGTGGAGCAGGCAAACAATGAGTTATGTGAAAAGGAATGACAGTTGTGATACTGTTTCAAAATCTCCAACAGGTCAGACTCTGGATCAGCTGATGTAGTGGCAGCTACTTTCAGACAGCTTTGTTCTACAGTCTCATGATCCAGACCCTTAAGGGGCTGTACCCCTACCCACATGTAATGGCTAGTGTCTTCTATTTTACACAGTTGTAATAGCCACTCTGTTTCACAAATGCTGTGTTATTCTTCTGGTCCTCTTATGTAAGTGTACTTGGTTTCTGTGGCATCAATGGAAACGAAAGTCAGCCTTGTAACCATTTGGAGTTTTTTGTACTGACATAAGACTAAATAAACAAGTTGTTAGCTGTTGGCCAGGAAGTGAAGTGCCGACTGATTTTTAAATGAATGGCTTAAAAGAGGATTCACTGGTTGAATGCTGTACCTCAGCACCTGAAAAAGTGTAACTGCAGTGTCAGTGTGACCATTGAGTACAATTGTGGTAAGCATTTTACACTTCTTTTCATGGGAAATATTTTTAATATTTTGAATTGCTTTTTGTCCTTTAAAAAGGTATCCAAAGAAGGTTATGCTTAAACAGGAAGTGTTTAGTTTATTTTTCACACGAAAGGATTTTTTTTTTGGTGGGAGGGAACAATTACAGTATAATCTCTGTTCAGTTACCTTTCATAATATACATGAGAAAATCCAGACACTCTTCATATAATTCTTATTCTTAGTTATGTAAATCAATCTTTCTTTGAAAGCTTGCTTGCTTCTTTGCTTTTGAGAAAACCAGCATACAGAGTAGAACTGTCTCTTATACTTTATTACTGCAGTGTTATCTACTGGCTACTTCAAAATGTCAGATTAATAGTTGATTAAACTGACAAACTTTTTCATCAAATGTAAATGTATGTTGTCTGTTTGATATGTTCAAGGAAAGAAGTAAAGAAACTGCAGTGCTTAAAAAAAATTTTAAAAAGTAGGCAAGGCTTAAGCTATAATATTCAAAATAGTCCTTAGAAGAATTCTGATACTTGATATTAAAACTTCACTACAGGAGTATTTGACTGACAAATCTTGCTCTCATTCCCTTGAAAAATTCTGGTTTTGAGTGTGATCTGACAAGAAATCATGGGAATTTGTATACCTTAACATTAACTTTTTAAAATGTATTATCACAAGCTATTTGTTCGTGTTTCCTGAATGAATTGTAAATAAAGGTTAGGTGTTTCAAAGCTGCCTGAAAGAGCTGGATTTTTTAACTCTCAGAAGAAACTAATTTGAGATAATGTAGGTAATTTGGAATCTTTCTGTGTATGAAGAAATAATTTAGGAAGTCTTGTATCAAATCTATCCCCCACCCCCCTTGTTGTTCTCAGACTGAAAACTCTTCTTTCTCAGCCTCAAGTCACATTGCCTGTAATCTTAAGTGTCTTAATTGCACTGATGTAGATTACAATCAATGCCAAGTTGCTTGAGGAGAAACAAATAGCTGTTAAGCTACTTGCTAGCTCTTTGCATTCCATTTGCATAGGGAAAACAGTGCTTGTAGAAATGCCGTTTGTGTTTTGTTTTTTGTTTGTTTTATTTGGCAGGCAGAGTTGCGAGCAGCTGTTTTTTTGGCGTTAGAAGAACAAGAGAAAGTAGAGGTAAGAGAACCTTGAAAAAAAAACCTAAAAAAACCAGCATCCTGATGGTTTTTCAGGTAGAATTAAATATGATAGCTTTAATACCTTCTATTTGTGAAACTAACAGGAGAAAATTATGTATTACTGCATAAGAGCATGATACTTAAAGAACACAAAACAGGACTATCCGGGTGTTTCCCGCTGGTTAGAAACAGAAATTGTTACATAGCCTTTTGAAACTGTAGCTTTAACTATCTCGGCTGGTTTTATATCGCTTCTGTCCAATTGACCAGAATAACGAAATATCTTTTGCATCAAATACTTCTTTAAAAAGAAAAATCTAGTTGACCATTCAAGATTTTATCAACTTGGGATAACATCTTTTGAAATTTGAAATAATTTTTTTTTTTTTGACAAGTGTGTTGTGAAAGCAGTTTAATGCAGTAACTTGCCAAGTATGCTAATGCTTTTGGTATTTCTCATAGGGATGTTGTAGGCTTACTTCAGGATAACTTGCTTATATTTAAGGAAGAATTCTGAATTAAGAGATGGACTGGATTGACAATATAATAACATTAAGGGTATGTGATACTAGCATGATTAAGTAACAATACTGCTGTGGTCTCAAAACAGATGCTAGTTTTGTGACCCCTTCTACTGCTGGTATTGCCTTGGTTCCTGTGTCTTTCCACTTGCCAGAAACAGAGAAGACAGGGTGCTATATGTCCAGGCTCTCTGTTTCAAAAGAGAGGAATGGAAAACAGTCCTATGGTTGTGCTCTTTCTGGAAAATTGCACAGCTGAAGCAGACATTACTGTGACATTAGTAAGGGGAGGAAGTAGTTACTCTGATATGAGAGTCCATGTTCCAGAAATCTAACACAAGAGTGCTGAAGAACTCGTAATGGAAGTGTGATACAGCAGAAGAGTGACATCTCTTATGGGAAGGTTCAGTGTATTATAGAATACCCAGAGAACAACCTTCCAGACTATCTGGAGAGTAATAGGGCTGGAGAGAGATTTGCTGCAGTTGATCTCTGCTCGCCCTTTTTTGAAAAGTCTTAAATGTATCATGATATTTCAATTTTACACTGTAGAGGCATTGAAAATATATTAATGCTTATCACTACTCTGAATTCCTAAATATGAAGCAAGATACATTACTTTTTTCACGCAGCACCTTCTTGTGCATGTTAGCATTTACGACTATATTGAAAAATACCTATAACAGATCCTTTTTTTCAAATTGGGTTCTTACCCAGGATATTTTGATATGTTAGGAATGGCATTTAGAACTTGGTTTGAAAAATCCCTGAACAATTTTGGCAAACCCAAACATAGCGCGTTGATATATCTCTGTTTAAAAGTCAAAGTTGAAGAGGGCAAGTTAACAAGGCAGAAAAACATTTTCATAATATCTTTGAAAGTCTTTTAATTAATAGAAGATTAATACTGATTTGTGAACCTGTAATTAGCATGGTCCACATTTTGTCTAGATTATTTGTAAATTCTCATTTTTTTAAAAAAGTGAGACTGAATTTCCTTAAACAAACTCGGTGCTATATTAGAGGGGCATTTTGGGAAGTTAACAGCTTAACTTATGTTTTTAATCATTAAGGAAATAAAAATCAGTATGCTATTAAGAATTTTTGTGAAATTACTCTAGCTTTATAGCTTTTATAACAGGAATACTGAGACAATTTCAATTTGCATAAGTAAATGTATGACTCTGCAGCTTTGACGAGTAGTACAATTAATATGAAGGTAAATTTTGAAGAAGTGAATTACATGTGCCAGGCATCATTGTGGAACAGCGTACACCAAAAGACCAACTTGCTGTGGTTTTCAGTTTCTTGCTAGTGTGAGGACGATGTTAATTGCTGTTTGGTTTTTGCTTTTTGACAGAACAAAGCACCTCTGGTAAATGAAAGCTTGAAAAGTTTTTTGGGTACAAAAGATGGTAAGTTCTTTGTTTAGTATAGCTCTCAAAATAATAGAAATAGGAAACAAAGGATTAAATATTTGGATCTTCTATTAACAGTACAGTCTTCATGACATAAAGATACTTTTGTTCCTGTCAAATGTCGTAATTACTATTCATTCAAAGTAGAATTCAATTTATAATTTTTGAAGTTAATATTGCTGAAGTTGTGTTTTTAACTGAGGTGACTAATGCATTTAAATTAATATTTCGTGATGATGCTAACTCAGAGCCATCCTAGACCAATAGAAACAGTAACCAGTGAAAACTCACTGTAGAGATACAGTAGTGAATGCACACATAGGAGAAATGCTAAAATATTGTCTTTAAAACAGCTGAATAGTTAAAAAAAATAACCTTGCACCTGAATTTTCTAAGTGATCTCTATTTATGCTTCTGCAGTATTGCTGACTTTAATTTTGATACGATGTGGCTGAGTTAGAAATTAAGGAATCGGTATTGAAGTTAGCTATGTGGTAGTAGTCTGCTGAATGTCTAAATGATGTTTGTAGGAGTGTTGAATCAATGTAGCTGTTCCTACTGAAGCCGTATTAATGTTAAATCTTTGAAGTAGGGATTGCTTCCATCTGGTGTATTTTTACTTTTCTTATTTCCTTTTTAGGTCGCTTGGTAGCAGGTCTTGTTGCAGAATTTCTACGGTTTTTCAATCTTGATTTTACGTTAGCTGTTTTTCAGCCTGAATCAAGCACAGTAAGATATACTGCTTTTATTTGTATGTTATGCTGGTTGTTTAGAGTGCATGGCAACAGATACAGAAGCTATAGTAGATTTAAGTCACTTGCTTGTGTTTATTCTAATTATTTTTTTTATATTTGGTCTGTAAAAGGTCCTTATTGCCATAAAGTCACGTATTCCAACAGAGTGTGCTAATAGGAGTGACTATTCCCTTTATCAAAAATAAATGTTTGATAATATGTTTTGAATTAACAAATTAATATTTTTGGTGATGTGATATATAACAGTGTATACAACATAATACCCCTACAATGTTTTTTGTCAATAACGTTACTATATCATGATATTAAGTTAGTATTGTTATATGAAAATTAAAATAATGTCAGTAATCTACTCCGAGAGAATTTTCAGTGAACCAAAGGACTTTATGCAGATGGACATGACAAAAAGTGAGTGAATAGAATACTTCAGACCTACAACGATCATGTGGCCCAACTGATTGCTTTTAGGGTTTTGATATTAAGGTAGAGGTTTTTCGTCTTGTTTGTCCCTTTGTCCCTTTTTATGATATAAAGGTTTTAATAATAAATTTGGGTTTGAAACAGTTCCGCTTAACGGAAGAATTTCTTTTTACATCTCAAATACTCATTTTTATTCCTAATGTCAGTTTAAATAGTTAATTTATTAATAATCCAACTTTGTTAAATCAGTTAACTGACGTCTGTTTCTCAGAAGTTCATGTTTCTTTTCAGGGACTTAATCAAAGCAAATCCCATACACCCTTGTCATTTGCCAAATATCCTTAGCTGCATTTGTTGCAGTAGGACACATCCGTACAAAGATTCACAGTGATGCTACCAAATAGCTTCCTGTCATGTCGCCACTCGTTCTTGGGAGCAGGGCTTTGTTTGCATTGTAAAGGCATCTCATGCTCTTTGAAATGTCCCCTTCCTTTTAAAAGCCTCTCTTTACCTGTTGCAGTGCATGTATGAAAGATGGCCAAGACTGCTCTGTGTAGTGCTGAAAGATTTTACTTTGTCTTCCTCTACTGGCCCCTGTCTCTGAGCAGTCTGTTGCATTACCTCTTTATCCTCCATGTTTCAGTGTGCTTGACTAGTGGTGGCTTGCTTCAGTATTTGCTTGACCAGTGTTTTGATCCGAAGTGTCACTAAATAATCATAAGAGTTCAAGGTGAACCGGTGCCCTTTGCAGCATTGCCGTTCTGGGTTTGCTGCAGCTGCTATAATGTGAAGTTCAGTTTTAAAAAGTGTGGTTTTCTTTAATTTTTTTCCTGTCAATTCTGTTTTTTTTGCTGATATTGAATTACTTTCATCCCTATTTCTGTCCAAACCCATGTTGTTTTTATTCAAGTCAGAGACTGATAATAAGTGTTGACCTATGCTGGTGTACTTCTGTATGCACTGGAATGGGGGCTCTTCATCATCTATGAATTTGCTGGAACCACTGGCTGGGTGTCCTAAGATCCACTTTTAAATGTGGTAGGCTGAAGTAGCTTGACCATATAAATCCTTAAATCCTGAAGCATACTAATTATGGTAACTTTTTTTTTTTCCTCCAGCTAAATGGCCTTGATGGTCGAGAAAACTTAGCTCGAGATTTGGGAATTACAGAAGCAGAAGGTACTGTGGGTGGTCCCCTGTTGTTGGAGGTTGTTAGAAAATGTCAGCAGAAAAAGATTTCAGGCAGTGGAGAAGTAAGTGGTGTTAACATGTAACTTCTTTCTTTCTTCATAACTCATTATTCATTTTTATTTCAATGATGCGAAATAAACTGAAATTAAGGACACTTGGCTATTGTTGTAGTATTATACTCCTTCCAGTCTTTTAATATATTATGTCTTCAACATAACTTATCAGAAAACAATGCTGAAAGATGATGACTTCTGTTACTTTTAATGCCACCCTAGTACTCTTTACTAATATTCTGCTACAACATAGTGACACGGAGTGAACCCAGATAAATGGCACAAAACACTGTGTCACTTATATTCTAATTTCTGGTGTGGTTTGGTAACGCTTTTAGCTGTATCTATTTTCTTTGACATGCTTCTAATTTTAGCATGACCTGAGAAGCCTATAATTGGTTTTGTTAAAAGCTTTGAAGCTGAAAACATATGTATTTAAAACTAGATATATGAAAGTATTGAACTGAAGGCAACAACAGTAATATTTTAATGGAATAGATAATTAAGTTGTCAATTAAATGAATGAAATCCAAGCAATAGCATTGATTAGTCTCTGTCAAAATTGTGGCTCAGAAGAAAATTCTCCGCATCCAAGGTGCGTTCAGTACCCTAATGAAAGCTTAAATTCAGAAGTAGTTGTCATAGGCTTCCTAACATAGCATCATGGTGTCACAATTTGCATACCGTGTGAGTGAGAGTGATTAGCCTAGTTTCTTCTTGGATGGTATTATGACAAAATTCAATATATTTTTAATAAGTGTTTATGTGAAACTTCTTAGGTGGCTCCAGTTATAAGTGATAACCTGTGTACCACATCAAAATCATCTGATGGAAGATCAAGTACACACCCTATACCAAATAAGGTGAGATTGTTTATATATAATGAAAAAGCTACATAATGTACCTGAGGTAAGTAAAAGAGAGAACTCTTATGAAGCTGTAGATATGATGGCATTCACTTAAATGATCTACAAAGTCCTGTACCTTTCTGACTGGGTAGGTGACGGCATATACACAGAGCTCTGTGAGACACAGACAGGTTGGAGCTAACTTGTTTGTTTATGGGGCAGCTGGCTGGTTGCTGCTTGGGATTGATAAGGTGTTAGGACACAACTGGCTTTGTGTTAGGTTCTCTGGCTTTCTTTTCTCTGTTGCTCCTGTTAGCATAAGATCTGTATTAACAAACATCTTTCAGGCCTCTAATACTCCTTTACATTTGACTGGAACTGATCAACAGGTTGAGAATTACGGCAAAGTGAAGGGCCCAGAAAGGGGCATGATCACTTAAGCCTCTTTTCCACAAGAAACCAGCTACCCCCTACACCCAGTGTCATGGTTTAACCCCAGCTGGCAATTAACACCACCCAGCCTCATGCTCGCTCCATTCCTGCCACAGTGGGGTGTGGGAGAGAATCAGAAAAATAAAAATTGTGGGTTGAGATAAAGATAGTTTAACAGGACAGAAAAGGGAGAGAAAATAATAATAAGAGAATATACAAAACAAGTGACGCACAGTACAATTGCTCACTGCCTGCTGACCGATGCCCAGCCAATACCCAAGTTGTGGTGTTTCCCGGCCAGCTCCCCACAGTTTATATACTGGGCATATGGTATGGAATATTCCTTTGGCTCATTTGGGGCAGCTGTCCTGGCTGTGCCCCCTCCCAGCTCCCTCTGCACTCTGTCTCTGCTGGCAGGGCAGTATGAGAAGCTGAAAAGTCCTTGACTTAGTATAAACACTGCTTAGCAACAACTAAAACATCAGTGTGTTATCAACGTTATTTTCATCCTAAATCAAAAACACAGCACTATACCAGCTACTAGGAAGAAAATGAACTTTATTCCAGCCGAAGCCAGGACACCTAGTAAAAAAAAAAAACAAAACACCAAAACAAAAACAAACGAAACACACCAAAGCAAAACAACACAGATTCAAGTACTACAGTTTGTTCAAATTATTGATGTAATCTGATCACATTAAAAGTTTTAATAGTTTCTTTCAAGATTACTCGAAATAACTTAGAAGCTTTCCAACTTACTAATGAAAGCTGAGAACTATAACATTACATGGATTTTGTTGTTAGTTTGTTTGGAAGAGGGAGTAGTAAGGATAAAAGAAAATAAAACGACAGCTCAGTTTGCATCAGCTTCATTTTATTCCAGTTCTTTAGATTATTTTTTTTTGCCATGCAAATCTAGAAGACTATACAACTTGAAAAGCAAGCTTCATTTCAAGATTTAGTTACTTTATTAATTGCTGTGCTTGTTGATACTACCTTAAGAGCTAGTATTTCTGTAACAGACCTTTGAATAGAAATTCTAATAATTTCAGACCTGCTTTAGGAGAAGCTAATTCTTGCTTGGCAGCTTTTAAAACAAAACAAATCCACTAAAAAGATCTGAATGCTGATTAAGTATCACTGATAATAATAAGATTGATTCATACCTGAGCCTCTACTTCTGCCTTAAGGAAGTTCTAGATCAGTTAAGAAGTCCTACTGAAGATGAGTTAGAAGTCATAAATACTCCATTCTCCCTTGCATATACCACCCTTCATCTTCACATTTAAATTATTTGAAATAAGTACGGCAGAAAGAGAAGAGCTAAGTGTTTGTTATATGGCTTTTCCTCAGGAAAAGAACACTTATCTAGAGGAAGTAAAAAGTAGTTCCAGTAGCTTGTAAATTGAACCAGGTTTCATATGGGTGTGCATGCGCATGGCTCAAGGCTGGTCCTTCCTCTAACGGGTACAAATCTTATTCTTTTATGTCTGTTCTTGACAGAGCTTTTTTTTTTTCTGTGGGCCAAGAAGTTTTGCAAAGATATGACTTGAGCTGTATTACTTTATCTTGAAGTTAGCTTATAGAATGGTCCTTACCTGCTTGGGTATCTGTAGGGCTGAGCCATAAGCATGATACAAAGACTGAAAGTTATGTACTTTTAAAGTATCTTGTTTGTGTCATTTTTGGTTTTAGTATTTGGAGGGGGAAAGTGTCATTAACTGCAGTCTTCTAATGCTTCCTGCTTTAAAACCTAATATTGTATTGCAGGTTACTGTTTCACATGGAAGTTAGAGTAGTTTGCATGCGTTTAAATTGATTTCTTTTGAAGTCAATGGCTGTAACTAACAACATTTGTTTATAGACGAATTGCAAAATAATACTAATAAAGCATCATGTAACTCAGGCTGTAAACCAAACACCACTGTCCTCTCCCTTTTTTAAAGTTAGGAGGTAAGAATCAGGCTGTAGATTTATTTGATGACCTACATCTTTTAAAATTGGTTGCTTTTATCATAGAGGTGATCTAGATAGTGAAGCAATGCAGAGGATGAAACAAAATATTTTAATTGCAGCAACAATAAGGACGACTTCCTTTCTAAAGTTATAAAACAACTTCTTTTTTTCTTGTGTGATTCCTGATGACACTAATAAATTCCTTAGAAGTACTAATAAATTTGACCTAACTTTTAAAAAAGCGATGGTAGATGTTGTTATATGTTGTGTGTTTATATTAGCACTTACAGTATTCTAAGACGTAAATACTTACTCCTTTCAGTGAGAGCTTTTTTCTTTGTCTTTCAAGGCTGCTGAAACCACGCAAAGTGATACAAGCGTCTCATCAGGGGAAGCAAGCAAAAGAAGCATTCATTTTCTGCCTAATGAAACAAAACTAGATCCTCAACTAGAAAACAAAGACTTAAATACCAAAGAAAAAATCGATCCAGGTGTGGATGAAGATGATGTAGAGGGAGATTCTTTTTTTGATGATCCTATACCCAAACCAGAAAGAACTTATGGCTGGTAAGCAACACAGGTATTTTACTTACAACAGGTTTATTTTGTCCTCAGTATGCTTGCAGCTGATCTTTGATTATTCACATTTGTGAGTGTTTAGATCTGTTCTGTAACATTTTGTTTCTGAAATGTGCGTTTTTATGATTCTATGCTTTGAAATGCACAGAGTCGTCTGGGATGTACCATGAGTGGAAAAACCTGTGTCACTTCAAGGTGCATCAGTCAGACGGTATAATGTCCTCAGCCTGTTTCTTTGGTGGAATGAACATGTATGAGGCAGACATCAGTGTTTCTTCTTGCAGCAGAGCTGCAGTAATGATCAGTACTAAAGGAAGTGGACAATGACAGGGATAGTGCTTTAGATATCTGTATGGCTTTGTAAGGCCTTGAGAAAAATCTGGTGAATGTGTAAACTGGCTCCATATACTGTGAGAATAAGGAAAGTTTTCCCGCAGCTGAGGGTTTCCTCTTCACGTTGCAGCACCTTTTGCATGCAGTTCTGTTTTCAGCTGTTATTTCTGCGTATGCCAATTTTGCAGATGCTTCTGAAGGGCATTTTTTATGGTTCATCTATGGAGTCTGATGACTGAAAAATACCATTTGAAACAACTAGTGACTGAGCTATACAACAGGCTTAGGTATAAAACCGGAAAACCTATCTTTGTGTTGTCATGTCAAGTTACTTATCTTGAAAGCTTAGTTTAGATATCTCTGAGAAATGCTACATGTTTGATGGAGTTCTTCTGCTGTGCTCAAGTCGTTGGGAGAATTGCTCGTTTAGTAGAGGTTACCAGAAGAGGTTGCAGAAGCATTTGCAAGTCAGTTTGACAGTAGCTCCCCTCATGTTGGCGATGTAGGCAGAACAGCATAAGCTGTTTTGTGTGATTGCTGCAGTAGATGCTTGCTCTTGGAAGGGAATCATTCTGGTAAGCACACAGCAATCATGCCAGGTAAACTAGGTCTCCTAGTAAATTAATGGACTCTTTGAGAAAGATTATTTATAATACAGCTTTCATTGGATGTATTTAGTCAGAGCAGATTTTTTTTGCTCAAAGAGCAGTGATTTTTCTCTGGAAAATATTGTGTATTACAAATAACCCTACTATGGTATATATTTTCTCTTTTTGTTATTGGAAATATCAAGATTAATACTGCATCTGAGTGCATTTACTCCTCCTTACTCAAGAGCTCATTTAAGTAGCCTTTAACCAAAGTCTGACCACCGAGCAGGTGATTGTGTTGCCATAAAATAGGTTTAAATGATAAGTTGAGAACACTAGAAGAGGCTGGAAAAACATCTGGATAATAATATTTACTAATTTCTTCCTGTTTGAGCCTTTCCATGTGACAAGAATGGAAATTCACTTTGGGTAAACTGAATTTCTTTTAAAAGACCGTCCAAGAAAAGGACTCTTAATTATTCAGTAAAATAATGATTTTTTCCTAGTAGAGAAGCTCCCTACAGAAAAAATTATTTCCAAATTATGTATGTCTGTAGTAGAGTCACAGACCACCAAGCAGTAATTTGTACGTCATATTGTTTTTGTGATGTAGGTATTATAGTAATGTTCCATAATAAGGTTTGCTGAATATGTTAATAAGTGAGCAAGCAATTAATTGTAAGTCAGCTGTCTCTGCTGAGTCTTTTGCTTCTACCCTCCTGGCAGCTCCTCTAGAGGAGAAGAAAGAACATAGTTTTCATGTGATATCCCTTTGTGGTATGTTGTGCTGGTGTGCCTGACTCCCAAGGGATGAGTAAGTAGGAGAGGCGCCAGCATCACTTGGTTTGCAAAAAGGAAAATCCCTTATGGGATCTTTGCCCATTCCTGTGAGAAGGGTGCATTAGAGAGGAAGGGAGTGAGCAGTCACTAAGGATGGGTAAGGGATGATCCAAGCTCTCACTGCCCCCAGGTCTCTGACCTGTTGTTAAACATTTTGAAGTGTTTTAATATGTGATAGTATACGTGATATTTTGGTGATAGAGATATAATGAATTATTCAAATGTTGTCCATTACTAATAGGAATGGAAACACAGTAACTGTGCTGGTAATAATAAATGTGAAAATCTTGATCTCTTTTTAATAGCATTTTTTCATCCTTTACTTGCAAGTAGTATTTGAACTCAACACTTTGACTGTATGAGTGGAATAGGTAGTAGCCAAGTGAATGTTAACATGTGATGGCGATATCTGTCTTGCTATAACTGAGAGGTTTTCATTCTGTGAACTGACTGCTCTTAGGATTAATAGTTTCATCAGACATAATCTCTTTTAGCTGGAAACCAAACTAATTTAAATATTGATTTATATCTGAATCTTTCTTCTTTTGACTGCATTTACATGTGGGGATAATGAAAGGCCCCATGATAAAAACAGCGCTGCTGCTGAAGGTGCAGGAGCTCTGTCTGTGAAAGGCGGCAGGCAGAAGTCTTTGCATAGGTGAGAAAGTGACTTCCTTACTGAATGTCTTGCTTGACACTTGTGCCAGTAAACTGCCTGCTGTTCTTAAGGTTTCAGAATGAATAGTCCTTTCCCCTTGCTCTTTTTGCTGTAAATATTGCTGTTCTAGTGTTATGACAATTTAGTAAATAGAAAAGAAAGTCACTGTGCACGTTCTACAGCTCTGTGGAGTAAGTATTTATTTGGTTTGTTTTAGGAAAACTGAAGCTAATAAAGTAGGAGGTCTAGCATCCCTTTCTGATGCACCGCCCCTAAAAAGTGGGTTGAGCTCCCTGACTGGTGCACCTTTGCTAAAGGAGTCTGATGGTAAGTTTTCACATGTTTCTGTGTTTTGATGAATGATCTACACCTTCAGATGCAGATGTGGTTAAGTATGTGGCCCCTTCTCATTGTCGTGTGCTTAATAGTAACTCTTTTTTGACTGAGCAATTGCATGCTAGTTTTGATATATTATGCTACCACTGGAGCATCTTATGTTTTGGAGCATGAAATACTTCTCTACACTCCTTTTTGTTGTGCATATAAAGCAGTGTTCAGGAGTATAAAATTCTACTGCTCTGTTTTTAACTGAAATTAATGTACTCCTTTGTTTTGCTATCTTACATTATTTGCACAAGTTCTTTAGGGACATTTTCGTTCATGTTGTAAAACCTGATCCAGATTACTGGGAGACCATCCCTGTTTGCTACTCATGTTTTTAAACATTAGCAGGGTTCCGACCTGAAAATAGGATATGATGTTATCATGCTATACTATAAAGTTATGTAAGGTTATTATAAAAGAACGCTTGTTATAAATGGTTGATGGTTATGTTTAAGTGGGATCTTATTAAAGAGTCACAAGTCAAACTTCTGATATAAGCGCTTCTGTTTCGTTACAGATTCAAATAGAAACTCTGTTTTGAAAGACCTGCGGTTGGTGAATGCAAAACTGGGATCACTAGAATTAGGCAAGTAGCTGCCAAACATGAGGAAGCTCTGATATTTTTGACTAAGTTCTGGCCCAGCTTTTTAGAGGCATATGAGAAACTGAAACACAGATATTGAACTAGAATCTTCACCTTTTACTTCTGTCGCTCAATTTAACACCGTTCTGAAATGTACTGGAGTTAAGAGCAAGATCTGATCTAAAGGATTACATAAAAGTGGTAAATGGTGTCTTGTATGTGGATTAGTATTTTACACATGCAGCAAAAATTTGATTCATCCCGTGCAAATGTTTGCTAATACCAAGTGACAAATTTTGTTGTCTAGGTTTCTGAGAAAAGAGGGGGGTTATATTTGTGGAAAAAGATAGCCAGACAAGCCTTGCTCTTCTTTCAGTGGAGGGCAAGTAAATATGCCGTATCTTTGAAAGCGGCCTTGTAAGCTTTGGGAGCAACATGATGATGATGTGATGTAAGAAGTATCTCAAAATAGAGCTGCCAAGTATTTAAATTTTGTCTTCAGCAATGTAGCCAACATCCTGAAAATGCGTGTTCAATTTCAAAACAGTTTGTGTAAATGAGGTTTGAGATCAATTAATGACAAACATAAACTCATCTTCTCTTCCTAAGCTACACAAGTAGTTTAATCTACTGCCATTTTTGTTGGCCTTCAAACCATGTGTTTTGGTGCAGGAATAGATTCCTTCTTTGCATTTCCTGAAGAGAAAACTCATTTGATTAATACCTTTTAAAATTATTTAGGAAATGGAGATGAAGATGAGTATGCTGATGACTTCAACAGGTAAGAGAAAGATGATACTGCAGTAGCATATCGTGTCATGCATTAGAAGCATATCATTAGCATATTTGAATTTATGAAATAATATTTCAGCTAGTCACTATTGCTGGAGTCTGTCAGTATTGCTGAACTCCTTTAAACTTCAGTTTTCTATTTTAATACATATAATTCAAATTTTTTAAAAAAATATTTACACTTTTGTGTGGGGGGTAACGGGTTCCTTAAAAACCTTTTTGCTTTTTTTGTGGAAGGCATTTGTTTGTTTTTTTTTATTTTTCCCTGAACCATGCAGTTAATAATGTTTTAAGACTTTAATTAATGCTATTAGATAAATTAATATGGTGTATGCTGAAATATTCAACTAAGATATAAAGCATAATGAGTAGTCACTAATAAATATTTAACAGCCTCATCCTGATGATGTGAAGGTATTGGTGTTGTAAACTGCAGGATTGAGGCCTAAGTACTTATCAGTATTTATCATGACTTCATCTAGGTAGAAAGCCTTTAGTTGTTTTGGGTTTTTAAGTAACTTCATATTTAACTTGCTAGGAAGTAAAATTCCAGTCAAGTGTCAGGTACAAAGTGAAAGTGAATGCAATACCTGGATGTTCGAAAAGAAAGTCTTAAATCTATGTTTTTGGGTTTTTTTCCTCTTTAGTACTAGTCATCGCTCAGAAAAAAGTGATATCAGTATTGGTGAAGAAATAGATGAAATTTCTGTGGAAACAGAAGAGTCAAATGCCAGTGATAAAGTATGATTCTTTTAAAATTGTTCTTCTTGACATTCTGATCTTCCTCTGATCGTAGGTTCCTAGGATACATGTTAAGGTTGTACTGTTTCTGATGTTCTGGACTTCTACACCTAGTATCCCTGCCAAGTTAGATCCTACACTGTTTAAAAAACAAGACAAAACCCCACAATTGTTCAGTGGGACAATTCACTGTCTATTTCTGGGCATGTAAAATGTATTTGAGAGTGGTTTAGTGTCCAGCATAGGAATGTCTTATCCGTATATCTCAAGATCTGCCTGAGCACCTCCTAAAGGAGTATGAAATCTCACTGAAAGAGCTTGAGGCCCAAGGGATGGGATGCTATGAAGGTCTACAAGAAATAATACTTACTGTTTCTATGATTTCTGACTTTGTAATTTCATTTATTTTCTAGCTTGAAGGCATCACGCAAGACCTTACCATTTCTCAGTTAAGTGATGTTGCAGATTATCTAGAAGACGTGGCATAGAATTGGACAGCAAAAATGTTTCATTGTGCTGGACTAGAAGACTGCTGTGGACTGTTAATTTCAGACAATCACTTTTTGCTGGAATGTCCACTCCCTATTTGTGCCTTGTGTTTCAAAAAGACTGTAGGTGGAGAAGGCTTTTAAATATTCTTTACGAGAACTGAATGAAATGGTGTGTTCCCATTCGAGTCTGATGCCAGAATTATTTTCTTCATTTGGTTCAGCCAAACCTTTTACAGCAGGAGGTGGATTTTTCCAAGCAGAATGTCCATTGCTGGCAGTGGGCATAATAAAAACAAATTGAATAAAAGAACGTCTACAGAGAGGCACATGGCTTTATAATGAACTTGACTGTTATTGTAACAGTCTGATTTTTTTTTTTTTAAAGATAACCAAAGCAAGAACCGTCAGAGGTAGTGGCTCAACTCACACTTCTTTTAACACAATGTTGTCAAGTCGGCCTGTAGTACATATATTTATGGTAACTCTAGCCACAATACCTAATTGTTCCAGACTCACTTGAAACTGCTGCTTTTCAGACTCTTCTAAAAGTTGGACTTTATTTTTTTTTTAAAGGCATATCAAATTGAGAGTATCTAAACTCTCAAATCTAAATTTAGCTAAATTTAGGAGCTAAGTTTAGTGCTAGTCTTAACTCCGAATATTCTCTTTAAATATGTTTGTCAGACCATTGATGTTAAGACCCAAGCTGTTTTTACATATGGTAGTTTCATCGATGTTATCTGTTGTTAAATCACAAAAAGTCATTTTGTAAGGATCCACAAATCATTCACTGTATCTTGTTGGTTTTTAAGTTTTTAACAGTGTGATAATGGTTTGTGGAGCTTTTGTTGCTGCGGGCTCTTCATGGGCTGTAAGCTTACTGTCATTCTTGAAAATCCTTGTTGTGTAAAAATGGGCGCCAAAAAGTGAAACCACTAACCTTTCTGTTTTCAGATTCTGACTGCTGTACAGAAGTAAATCCAAATATTTAAAAACACCATACCGAAGATGACATGGACACTAAGTTCTAGCTAAGAGCCAATTCTTGTGTTTTCATTATGCTCTTGCTTGCAAAACAGGGTCAGTAATGGAAACGTTGACAGTTCTTTAACGATGCTGTTGTACATGGCGCTGCTGTGGTGTAGAGGTCATGGGCATTTGTAATACTGAGACGAGACTTCAAAATGTGCACTTTCTGAACGTTGTAGACACATTTGGAAAATACACATGTACGTGAATATAAATAACTTAATTTTTTTTTAGGCTTTGTCATTTTTTTCAGGAACACTGTTGGCCTCTCACCAACGGTCACCGCGGTGGACGCAGCATGCTAAGGTGGAGCCATTGGCTGAGCACAGAGAGCTGCTCCTAGCGCTGGATGCCGACTTAAACCCCTCTTTGCACTGGGCCAGCAGGCATGGAGCAGTGCCGGGGAGTTAGGCTTGTACAGTACATAAATGGTTTGAGAGGAGAGAGGAAAAGTGTGCCTTTTATTTATGTGCACCCCAAAATAGCCAGCAAAAAAGCATCAGAATATTTAGTCATGGTGTTAACTTCTAACTTTGTGCCATATTGTAGCAGCTGAACACAGAGGAGAATTTTTTCACCCCAAAAAGTCAATGTGCCATAGGCTTCAAATAGCAAAAATGTAACATATAATACGTCCTGTATAAAAATTCCTTTAAGTATGGGGGAACCTGTGCCTCGAGATACTATGTATGAAAAGTTTGTATTGGGCTTTTCCTTTTTTTTTTTTTCGTTTTTAAAAAGAGCAACAGCATGTCTGAAGGAAATAAAATTCCACTTGAACACCTGGGAACAACTGATTTCTGGCATTCATTTTTAAAGTGTTTGGAATAATGTAGAGACAGTGTTGTTTGCTTTTTTACATGTCTTGGGAAAAGGTGATGTTCCATGACCTGTTAGCTGTAGGCTGTTTGGCAGTTTATCATACCAAAAGAAACAAGAACTTTACTAAATGATTTCTAATTACATTTGAAGATGTGGCCTTTTAAATAACAAATTAGATGTTTTAAGTGTTAACATGACTTTTGTTAACAGCAAAGTGTTGTTCTCTTACCTGGAGAGTTAACTGGAGACCTTGTACTTTGGCTCTAATTTAAGGAAATGCCACGAAGTGGTGAGTCTCCATGCTGTTCGTTCTGGGGGCTTTACTGAATTGTGTATAATAATTCAAATTGCAAAATAAAGCTATTGTGCTGGCTAAATTGTATTTTTGAGACTTCTTGAACCAAAAATCTTAGCATTTAGGAAATTCATGAAGCCCTATGGCTTTTGGGGGATTTTCCTGGAATTTTTTTTTTCCAGTTAGTCCAGTCCGGAGTTGACAATGTGTGTGAGCTCGGCTTTCTTCTAAGTCCAAAGGATCTTGCGTTTCCTGATGGTGATTCCTAAAGTCTGGTTGTAGACCAGACTGAATAGGGTTACTGGCTATCAGTCTGAGTTGTCAGGTGGTTTATGATTCAACAAACAAAGGGGAAAAAAAATCCAATCTTGATTGGCAAAACTTTGTCTCGTTTACCATTGTTAGAGTTACTTAAACATGACTGATGAGCGATGTTCCCTGGAATGCTCCTTTCAAACTAGGTGTCGTTCGGTATTTTACATGAGGCTTCTCCCCAGAGGACCTGGTGCAGATGAATCTCCAGCCTCCGTCTGTCGGAGTTCACAGCTAGAGCCCTGTCGTGAAAGATGGGAGCGCTGAGCCCTGTCTGAGCGTTCTGTGCCGGTGCTGCCTCCTCGCAGGCGTCTCTGTGAGCAGAGGGAAGTGCCCGGGAGGGGCAGTTTCCAGAAGCAGAAAGTTAAGGACTAAGCTGTGGCTGACAGTTCCACACCTTCGATATGGCGGTGGTAATGAAGACAGATTATTAAAACAGTTCCTGTCTTTTTTTTTCTTTTTTTTTTTTTTAAGCAAAGTGAGAAACAGCAGCACATGTGAGAAAATACTTCCTCATAAGTGGTGTTTTCCCCAGCTGTAATAAAACCACTCTCGGCCTTGGACAATACAGTCCTTATTTAGACCACGTATTTAGCCCTTGAGACAGCTTAAATGCGTCTGTAATAGAGTGATTGGGTGGTGATGGTGATGATAAAGAAGGGGTTTACTACTTTGTTCACTTTTTAGCACAGTCATTTTCACTGGTGAAATACTTTCTACAAAGCCTAGCCCTCAGGAGGAATGCATCCAGGGAGATTCCAGTTCAGTTGTAGATAAAAGTTAACCAAAGTCTGCCTGGTTTTAGCGTTGTCTGGGCAGC